TTCTCCTCTCCTGTTCCTTGAACTCAGGTGACCCCTGGCCTTCTCCCTCTGGGGGCAGCTCTGTCACCACTGTGGTGTCCACTGTGAGGCGGGGACAGGACCTGAAAGTGGGGTTTCCAATTGAGGGTTCTGGGCCAGCCCAAGTCGTCTGATGTTGGGTCTGACAAGCCAGGAGCTGTGTGAGCCAGAGAACGTCCCCCAACCTGTCTATGCCTCGGCTTCCCCATCTGTAAAACGGCAAGGGCTGAAACTTACTTTCTGGTGATGCGGTCATGTGCGTTAACACAGAGGGACTTGGAGTGGCCCCTGACGCTTACTGAGGGCCGCACCAGGGGTCAGCAAAGGTTGCCTTAAAGGGTCAGGCAGTAAATATTTCCACCTTTGTGGGCCGTGCGGCCTCTGTGGCAACTACGCGTTCTAGCGTTCTAGCACAGAAGCAGCCTCAGACACTGTGTGAAGGGATGCGTGTGGCTGCGTTCCACCAGAACTTTCTGTACACACATGGTGGCAGCTGGCCCGGACCCATCTGGTTACTTCTTGACTCTCAGAGCGGCGTCTCCTGTGCCTCCGGTTCCTCCCTCTGAGCCAGCACTTCGCATTCCTGGAGAGGGTGGGGGGAGTGGCGAGAAGGGGCGGCAGCGAGGATGGGGCTCACCTCCTAGGAGGTTTTGTGAGCTTCCAGCATCCCCCTGCAGCTGCCGTCCCTCCACTTCCCACGTCTGTTGGATGGTGCGGGTTCCAGGGCAGGGTCAGGGACTGGATCCGGCTGCAGTCGGCGTCTCGCCTAGTTCCTGAGAGCTGCACTTTGTCTTTGGTTGTTGATGAATCCATTTTCGCTGGCGTACTTCATGTTTGCATATTTGATTAAGTATTGCGGACAGGCAGGTGCAGTGGTTTATACCTGTAATCCCAGCCGTTTGGGAGGCTGAGATCACTTGAGGCCAGGGGTTCAAGACCAGCCTGGGAAATATCTCGAGATCCCGTCTTTATAAAAAATTTAAAAATTAGCTGACGGTGGTGGTGTGAGCCTGTGGTCCCAGCTCCTCACGAGGCCAAAGTGGGAGAATTGCCTGAGCCTGAGAGGTTGAGGCTGCAGTGAGCCATGATCACGCCACTGCACTCCAGCCTGGGTGACAGAGCGAGATCCTGTCTCAAAAAAACATCTCTGAGGGCACGTGTCTCGTGCATCCCGCGTCCCGCCTCCCACCTGGGCTCTGGTTGCTCCTCTTCTCTTGCAAACATGGGAGGAGCATGGCTGCCAGGACAGGGAGGGGCATCCCCAGCCCAGATCAGGCCACGATATGGCGAGTGTGGCTACTGGTACACGGAGGGGCAGCCTGAGCCCCCACCAGGCCATACTTCCCAGTGTCCCTTGGGGTCAGGACTGCGCGTGTCACCGAGGGGCTAATGGGTGAAGCCACACACACCCCGTGGCCTGGCCTTGCGCCCCTGCCTGAGAGCCTGTACGCAGGACGGCGCCTACGTGGATTACAGGTGCACACCACCAGCGTGAGGAGAGGAGTGGGCTCGGAGCTCGCTCAGCTGCGGTCCCAGGTGTTTTGTCAGCAGCCGGTTCAGCTTGCATCACGCCGAGTCGCCTTCAGAGTGAATTGACACCAGATTGTCCTGGTGGATTTTTTGCTCTGAAGAAATGTCAAAAGTAGCATTAAGGTTTTTCTGTAGACAAAAAAGCCCACCATCATTGCCGCTTGAGCAGTTGTAAATTAAATAAATTCCTTTCTCAGCAAGCTGCCTGAGTCCCAGGCCTGGGGCAGACGGAAATGGCTCTCAGCGCCGTTCCCACGATGGGCTTTTCTCCGGAGAGGAAGAGGAAACGGCCTGCACCTCTCCCTCTCTGAGGGTTGAAACGTCCCCCAAATTATCTCAGCCTCCTGAGGCATCGTACTGATGCTTTTCTCTAGAATTCACGTATTTCTTTATTTTCTCTGGAAATGGCGCTGGCTTTGTCCCTGTCCTATGGGCCGTGATAGCTTAAAGTCAGGATGAACCCGCAGAGGCCGTGGAGGCCCTTCCCAGGCACACGGCAGCAGCACTGTGGGGGTGAACGTGGCTCCTCTCGCAGGGGACGAGCAGAAGGGACTAGCACCCTTTGGGGCGTGTAACTCCTGGTGGCAAAAAATGTGCGGTGAAGTCACCCTAAGGGTTTTTGTGTTTTTTTGTATTTTTGTTCTATTCTTTGCGATGGAGTCTTGCTCTGTTGCCCAGGCTAGAGTGCAGTGGTGCAGTCTCAGCTCACTGCAGCCTCCACCTCCTGTGTTCAGGCGATTCTCCAGCCCTCAGCCTCCCGAGTGGCTGGGATTACAGGTGCACACCACCAGCCCTGGGTAATTTTTGTATCTTTAGTAGAGACCGGGATTTCACCATGTTGGCCAGGATGGTCTTGAATTCCTAACCTCAGGTGGTCTGCTCCAGCCTTGGCCTCCCAGAATGCTGGGATTACAGGCGTGAGCCACCGCACCCAGGCACTCTAAGGGTTTTGAATAAATCCTTTCTTAAAGCTTTCTGACCGGTGGCTCTTGTCTCCGCCCAGTCGTAGGCACTGGCCGCTGACATGCTGAGGACTCGTGGCTGAGGCCTGGGCGCCCTACTGCTCCAGGCCGCGCTGGGCCTCAGGCCGTCTGGGTGGCACTGGCCTGCGGGCTGGGCGGCAAGCGGGGGGCGCGGGCGGGCCTGGCTGCAGCCCACAGGCCGGGAGACAGGTGTACGACAGCCTCACTGGAAGGAAGGAACCCCTAATCGTGGCGCACGCCGAAGCTGCCTCCTGGTATAGCTGTGGACCAACTGTATATGACCATGCACACCTTGGCCATGCTTGCCCATATGTTAGATCTGTGATATCATTCGAAGGATCCTAACCAAGGTTTTTGGATGCAACATAGTCATGTTGATGGATGTTACCGATGTAGATGATAAAATCATGAAAAAAGCCGATGAGCGCTGTCCACAATAGCAGAGACTTGGAACCAACCCAGATGCCCATCAGTGATAGACTGGATGAAGAAAACGTGACACGTGGAATACTAGGCAGCCATAAAAAAGGATGGGTTCATGTCCCCTGCAGGCACATGGGCGAAGCTGGAAACCATCATTCTCAGCAAACTAACACAGGAACAAAAAACCAAACACCGCATGGTTCTCACTCATAAGTGGGAGTTGAACAATGAGAACACATGGACACGGGGAGGGGAACATCACACACCGGGACCTGTCGGGGGGTGGGGAGCTAGGGAGGGAGAGCATTAGGAGAAATACCTAATGTAGATGACGGGTTGATGGGTTCAGGAAACCTCCATGGCATGTGTGTTTGCACTTTCTTAAAGTGTAATTTAAAGTATAATTTTAAAAAAAATAATTCTTTTTATCCAATGTAAAACTTTTTTTGAAGGTAAAATTAAAACTTTTATTTTTCTTCTTTACTTTTTTTATAATGTAAAATTTATGATTTTAAACAACAACAACAGAAAGCTTTCTGACCAGCTCTTAGGTCACGCGTGGGCTCCAGGGCTTGGTGGCCTTCATGCAGCTTCCTTCCCGTGAGGTTGACGCTGCTGAACGAGTCCCTCCGCGGATGCACTGAGGACGCTCCTGCACACCGAGGGCATCCTCAGAGCTGCTCTTTCTGTCATTGCCATTTTGTTTATAATACCGGGGATTGGCAAACTTTTTCTTGAAAGGCCCGAGAGTAAACATTTTTGGCTTTGCGGGCCACAGGGTCTCTGTTAGCAACTCCCTCCGCAGCCGCTCCCTTTCCCAGCCGCTCCCTTTCCCAGCTGCTCCCTTTCCCAGCTGCTCCCTTTCCCAGCTGCTCCCTTCTCCAGCCGCTCTCCAAAGGCACGGCTTGTTCTTCCGGATGCTGGACTGGCCAGGTGGACGGACTGGCCAGGTGGACGTCTCTCCAGCTCTGCACTCGGGGCCCAGGGCTCTTTTGATTTTTAGGAGTTTGTTTCCAATCAGAAACTTCGCAGATGATTTGCAGCCAGTTCACCTGCCCTGTGTAAACTGGCCCCTGTCCTCTCTGGCTTAATTCTGGGAGCTCGTGGAGGGCAGGAGCAGGGACAGGTGCCTTGAGGTGTAACAGTGGCGGTGGTGTGGGAGCTTGCATGGGATCAAGGGAAACGGGCAGATTCGCTGCACACGTCCCTCGTCCACTCTCTGCTCCACGAGGGGCAGCCAGGAGCAGCCACCAGTCCGAAGGAAATAAACAATTCAGGTGCCAGAGGAGCCACTGACCTAAAAACCCACAAGGTGCCCGCCACAGGGTATTTCTGGGAGATTGTGTGGGAATTTAATTTTGAAAATTGAGTCTCATGAAATGTAGGAAAGACCTTATTAGGAAGAGAAACCACGTGGCCCAGTCCCTGCGACAGGAAGGGCCTGCGTGGTCCTGATGACGTCCGCAGGTCTTTTAAAATCATACGATCACGTCTGCGAAACCAGGAAGCCACTTCCCGCCTGGCCTCACCCTGACCCCAGCTTGTCCCCTTGGAGGGCTGGCGGACTCCTCAGCCTCACAGCGATGAAACCAGGCCTTAGGCCGCCCCACCCGGGGCCTGCGGTGCTGTCCCCATGCAAGAAACCACCTCGCTCCAGCCCCCGGCAGATCCTGCCCCAGCCCCCTGCCCTGGTTCAAGCCACCTCCGCTCCCACCTGGTGACGAGCCACGTCCTTCGTTCCGCGGCCACCCACACTTCGCAAGTCCACGCACGGTGGCCAAGAGCAAAGGCCAGTGAGGCCCCTGCGTGACTCCCTCCCCTGCCCACTTCACAAGCCGCCCTGCAGCCCATCCCCCCCAGCCCCTCTCTGCTGCCAGGGTGGTCCTGCTGCTCTTTGCTCTCCCCAGCCCCCAACGCCCCAGGCCTCTGCAAGACTGAACCTCTGAGAGGGCTCAGACCCACGAAGGCTGCTTCTGTGGGGCTTCTGTCTAGGGAGGCCGCCGTCTGCCAAGGTGACTGCAGCCTCCGCTGCCTCTCTCCCTGCAGGCTGTTCCTGGTCATTGAGTACGTCAATGGCGGGGACCTGATGTTCCACATGCAGAGGCAGAGGAAGCTCCCCGAGGAGCACGCCAGGTGGGTGCACGCTGAGGGGGGCTGGGTGGGTGCCCGTGGCGGGGGGGTGGGGGGGGGTGGGTGCGTGTGGAGCGGGGGGCCCTGGTGGGTGCGCCTGTGGGGGGTGCGTGTGGGTGAGTGTGGCGGGGGCAGTGGGGGGGGTGAGCGCGGGGGGTGGGCTGGGTGGGTACGCGCGGGGGTGGGGGAGCCGGGTGGGTGTGCGCGGAGGGGGCCAGGGACGTTCTCCAGGGGTCAGCCGGGCGCTCGAGGGAGGTCTGGGGAGGATGGCAGAGGGCACCACGACCCCCGCAGTGTGACGCCTTCCATAGTTGCTCCAGAATCATAACTTTCGGGAGGTCCCCTGAGTTATGGTGCCTCAGAACCGGTCCCCTGGGCCCCACCCCTGAAGCAGCAGGTGCCTGGTCTGAGCCTGGTCCGAGAGAGGGGAGGCCTGGGACTGTGCTGTCCTCGTGGTGGCTCTGCCGTGGTTCTGCTCTTCACCCTGTCAGTGGCACGGCGTGGCCAGCATTCACTCAGCGTCAGGAGCAGAACGAGAATGGTCTCTTTCTAGAGTGAGCCGAGAGATTGCTTCCTGCCCCCCCTTTCGTGTGTCTATTTTTGGGCCTCCCCCAGCAGCTGTGGGGCCTCCAGGACCGTCTGGGGGCTTATTTCAGGTCCCTGGACCTTTCCTGTTTTCTGTAGTTTCTCCTTTTCCTCACTTCCTTACTTAAGAAGGTTCCATGCAATTTTGTGAGTCACCTTAGATTCTTTCTGGCAATAGGACAGTAGGCAATAAATCTAGAACAGTGCACTCACTTCCCACACGCTCTTGTTAAAAACCGTGGCAAGATACACACACACACAAGGTAGCGTTTTGGGGCGTGGAGTTCAGTGGCACTGAAGGCCCCCCGTGCCATGCAGCCACCGCCGGCCCCCGTCCCCAGAGCACGCCGCTCTTCCCTGCTGAAGCTCGGTCTGTTGGACACTCCCTTCCTGTCCCCCGCCCCAGCCCCACGTCCTCGCCCCAGATGGGCATGTCCCACTTTGTGTCCCTCTGATTCGAGGACTCTAGGGACCTCTTCGCAGTGGAATCACAGTGTGGGTCCTTTGGTGTCCTGGAGTCCTCAGGGTTCATCCGTGCTGTGGCCTGTCTCAGGATTGCCTTCCTTTTTCAGGCTGGATAATGCCCGTCGGATGGAGGGGCCACACTTTGCTTCTCCGTCCATCCCTTGGGGGGCACTTGGGTGGCGTCCGCATGTTGGCTGTGGTGAACAGTGCTGCTGTGAACACGGGTGTAAAGTAATCTCTTGAACACCCTGCTTCCGGTTCTTTGGGGTATAGGCCCAGAAACTGAATTGCTAACCACAAAGGAATTCCGTATTTCTTTTTTTTTTTTTTTTAATGGAGTCTCGCTCTGTCACCCAGGCTGGAGTGCAGGGGTGCGATCTCAGCTCACTGCAACCTCTGCCTCCCAGGTTCAAGTGATTCTCCTGCCTCAGCCTCCTGAGTAGCTGGGACTACAGGTGTGTGCCACCACACCCAGCTAATTTTTTTGTATATTTAGTAGAGACGGAGTTTCGCCATATCGTCCAGGCTGGTCTTGAATTCCTGACCTCAGGAGGTGATTCGCCCGCCTTGGCCTCCCAAACTGCTGGGATTACAGGCGTGAGCCGCCCAGCCTGGCGCTGTGTTTAATTTTCGAGGACCTGCTGGACTGTCTTGTGCAGCAGCGCTGTTCTGCACTCCCACCGCAACGTGCCAGGGCTCCGGTCTTTCCCGCGTGGAAGCCGTCGTGTTATGTGCCTGCTCCTCCCCGTGTGGAGGCTGCCACGTCATTCTCTGTGTCTTTGACAGCAAGCCATCCTAAGGCACACGGGGCGGTGTCCTGGAGCTTTCATTGCATTTCCCTCCCTGGCCCTGTCACTGAACTTTCAAATCCTGGGCCTGGTTGTTGAGAGGACGCCTGGCCCGTGGTGGGACAAACGGGAGCGTGCGGCCCCCAGGCTGGAGTTGTTGGTGCAGCCTCCGGCACAGGCACTGTCCCCATGACAGCATCCCGCCCCCAGGTTCTACGCGGCCGAGATCTGCATCGCCCTCAACTTCCTACACGAGAGGGGGATCATCTACCGGGACCTGAAGCTGGACAACGTCCTCCTGGACGCGGACGGGCACATCAAGCTCACGGACTACGGCATGTGCAAGGTGCGTCCCTCGGGCCACCTCCCCCGACCATCCCGCGTGTGCTTCTCAGGGCGCCTGTCCTGCGGGGTGGTGTCTACAAGAACCCTCTTGTGATAACTCTGCCCCCACAGGAAGGCCTGGGCCCTGGCGACACAACAAGCACTTTCTGCGGAACCCCGAACTACATCGCCCCCGAAATCCTGCGGGGAGAGGAGTACGGTGAGTGCCGCGGCCGTCCCCTCTCGGAGCACACGGGGCCAGGGACGGCCTCGCACCTCGCCCAGCGGCCGGGGAGAGGTTTCGCTGACCATCTTTCACCCAAAAGCCACACACTCTTTCGCAGCCGGATGTCATCATCTGGTCTCAGCCCCTTATTTGAATTCTTGAAAACCTCCCGTGTCCACTTGAGCGGCCCCTTGGGGAGGGCACCGCACAGGATTCCTCCTGCCAAGGAGCCCCAGGGGCACAGGGAGGGGAAAGACACAGAAAGCGGGGGTGGGACAGGGTGCGGCACCTGAGTCCCCGTGCTGCCCACGTGGCTGGGGAGAAGCAGGTGTCTGGGAGCACCAGGGGGTGCAGGAGCATGTGGAGAGGACCCCACCGCCCCTGCGGCTGAGGGCGCCACGCACACCGGAGTGTTTCTGCTCCTCTCGCCTCTCTGGGAGTGAAACATGGACATGGTGGGCATGCGTGTGCAGCCCTGTGTGCGTGTGTGCTGGTGTGTTGTGCTGAGTGTTTATGTTTTGGGCATCCGTGTGTGTTGTGTGCACACACATACTGTGTTTGTACACACTCCATCCACTTTTGCATCCTGGTGTTTTGTTTGCTTTTTTTTTGAGACAGAGTCTCACTCAGTCGCCCAGGCTGGAGTGCAGTGGTGCGGTCTCGGCTCACTGCAAGCTCCGCCTCCTGGGTTCACGCCATTCTCCTGCCTTAGCCTCCCGAGTAGCTGGGACTACAGGCGCCCGCCACCACCCCAGGCTAATTTTTTGTATTTTTAGTAGAGATGGGGTTTCACTGTGTTAGCCAGGATGGTCTCGATCTCCTGACCTCGTGATCCACCTGTCTCAGCCTCCCAAAGTGTTGGGATTACAGGCGTGAGCCACCGCGCCAGGTCTCATGCTGGTGTTTTCAGTGAGGCATACACGAGTGTGCCTTCAGATGTTTTTACACATTTTTTGCCATCAGAATGGGGGTGGGGCAGGAAGGGTGGGCAGGTCACTCACCCCTGGGATAACTGGGCTCCCCAGCTGCCGCGATGGAAGTCTCCGTAGCCAGAGAAGGACAGATAGCAGATTGGAGGACTGGAATCCATTCTAGAACCCAGCTCGGGATGGGGATTCTGGGGGGGACAGCAGCAGCGTCTCACCTCAGCAGGGAGCAGGGGGACTTCTGGGGACCCAGGGGCAGCTGCCGTCCTTGGGCAAAACTGCTCAGGGCCTCCCACCCCCATTTGCTGGAACACATTCCCATCAGGTTGGCTACTTGAACATTTTTAAAAAACAAAATAGTCGGGCGCGGTGGCTCAAGCCTGTAATCCCAGCACTTTGGGAGGCCGAGACGGGCGGGTGGGTCACGAGGTCAGGAGATCGAGACCATCCTGGCTAACACAGTGAAACCCCATCTCTACTAAAAAAATACCAAAAAAAAAAACTAGCCAGGCGTGGTGGTGGGCACCTGTAGTCCCAGCTACTTGGGAGGCTGAGGCAGGAGAATAGCGTAAACCCGGGAGACGGAGCTTGCAGTGAGCTGAGATCCGGCCACTGCACTCCAGCTTGGGTGACAGAGCGAGACTCCGTCTCAAAAAAATAAAATAAAATAAAATAAATAAATAAATAAATAAATAAATAACAAAATGGGCCGGGTGCAGTGGCTCACACCTGTAATCCCAGCACTTTGGGAGATCGAGACGGGCGGATCACGAGGTCAGGAGATCGAGACCATCCTGGCTAACCCGGTGAAACCCCGTCTCTACTAAAAAATACAAAAAACTAGCCGGGCGAGGTGGCAGGCGCCTGTAGTCCCAGCTACTTGGGAGGCTGAGGCAGGAGAATGGTGTAAACCCGGGAGGCGGAGCTTGCAGTGAGCTGAGATCCGGCCACTGCACTCCTTTCTGGGCGACAGAGCGAGACTCCGTCTCAAAAAAAAACAAAAACAAAATGACTGTGGAAGAAAACCTGGGAGAGTCTCCGTTATTGCAGCGAAAGGGCTTCTTCAAGCTTAGATCTGTGAACGCAGAAACGAGAGAGGAGGGTCATCCACAGGATCCACCAATGCCTCGTGCCTCTGTGGTCACAGGTGCCCTGGCAGGACTGACAGCCCAGAGACAGCCTGGAGACCTCCATAGTGTCAGGGACGGTGGCAGGGAGGCCGAGCTGCCAGGCGGAGGTACTGGTTCTGTCTGGGAAGTGGAAGCCACAGAGGCCTGTGTGCCGCCCACTCGACCCTGGCTCTCACTCGTGTCAACTGGGCATGAAAACCAACCACAGCCAGGTTCACCCTGCTGCCGGCCCACGTGGCCCCACTGGGTGACAGCCGTGTGCTCTCCCCCAGGGTTCAGCGTGGACTGGTGGGCACTGGGTGTCCTCATGTTTGAGATGATGGCCGGGCGCTCCCCATTCGACATCATCACCGACAACCCGGACATGAACACAGAGGACTACCTTTTCCAAGGTGCGTCCCCCTCACCTGCGTGACTGCCTGCCTTCCTTTTCAAAGGTGCAGGTGGAGAGGTCCTGTGGGGGCCAGGAGCAGCAGTGCCACGCAAAGCATACCAGGAACCATTCCTCCTGGCCGGACCTTGTCCCACATGCCACTCCCCGGGCCGTGGGGTGGGGTGACCCCACCTGTGGGTCAGCAGGAAAGAGAACCTGTCCCGATTCAGCTCCAACTCCCTCCTGCCCTGGCCAGCAGCACATCTTGGAGCCCCAGCTATTGGCTGTACGGAGCTGACAGCACAGCCCTCGCCCCCAAAACCCACAGCCATCATCATGGGCTCCTTCCCACCTGGAGGCCCCGGGACCTGCTTCTGGTCTGGAATTCAGTGCCGCGGGATGTGGGGGTCCGGGAACGCGGCTGTCTCCGCTGTGCCCTCTGGTGGCCAGTGTGCAGAGGCACCCATGCATCTGCGATCTTGGGGCTGAGGAGGGGGAGCCACTGGTTCACGCCCGTTCCCACAACACGTGCCAGCACATGTAACCGGGAGGCCCAGGGAGGACCCGGCGGGACTTTGGGTTATAGATATTGCTGGGCTGTAGGAAGGGAGGGGGCTCCAGAGCCCCACGTCTGAGCTCCCAAAGCTCCTGCTCAGAATAGGAGTCTGGGCGGCGCTGGGCAAATCGCACACACGCGGGGAAGTGCTCACCAGGCTCCGCCCTTGCAGTGATCCTGGAGAAGCCCATCCGGATCCCCCGGTTCCTGTCCGTCAAAGCCTCCCATGTTTTAAAAGGATTTTTAAATAAGGTACGTTTCTGGCCACGCTGACAAACTCGTTTGTGGCCTCGGTGTCGGTGGGCAGAGGGCCAGTCACGGCTGTTGGCCATTTTTTCACGTCGGCTGCTATGTATCGGGTGTGTGGGCTGATTTTTCGCTTCAGTATTTGAGTTCTGTTCTGTGAGTCGTCCGTTTTTACTCACACCTAACAAAATGAGAACGTGTGCCCAAGGAAAACGGAACGAAGCCTAACGTGGGGGAAGGAGCTTTCAGTAAAGGAAACGTCTGATTTCCACCCGCTGGGTCAGAGCATCCGGGGAGGGCTTGTCAGCACTAGGAGCAGCCACCAAGGAGAGCGGGTCCTGGGCTTCCGGGATGGGGCTGACTTGTCCTTGTTTGAACTCTAACCTCCAGGACCCCAAAGAGAGGCTCGGCTGCCGGCCACAGACTGGATTTTCCGACATCAAGTCCCACGCGTTCTTCCGCAGCATAGACTGGGACTTGGTAAAGCATCACAAAGCCCATTTACACCCCCATCGCCATCCCAACCCCAAATCCACGCAACCCCCACCCCACCCCACCCCATCCGAACCCCAACCCAATATCTACCCAAACCCAACACCCCCACCCCAGCCCCCGCCTCAACCCCAATATCCACCCCAACCCCAAATCCATCAAACCCCCACCCCTCCACCAACCCAACCCCCAGCCCAACTTCAACCCCAACCCTCAACCCACACTACAACCCCAATATCCACCCCAACCCCAC